CTAATATTTTTCCTTTTTTTACATATTATTCAGTATGAAATAAAGAAACATACATTGACTATCTGTTGCATACACCCCCCAGAAATCAACTGCCAAAAACAGTTTTTAATGTAAGATAAGGACTTTAAGGTTGCTTAACATGCTAACTCACTTCCAGGTTATCCTTATTGGATTCAGCACCAGCTCCCCTGAAATCTGAAGGACTTACATGTCATGAAAACGTCTGTGATGGGGTCGCTCTCGTCCAGCCCGAGGATGGAGACCACGCTGACCTCGTAAGACGAACCAGGGGAGAGCTGTGATAGGCCGAGGGTGGAGTCGCCTTTGTCGATGGAAACTGACACCGGCTCACCTGCAGAGACACACAAAGGAGAGCAGAAATGTGTGTGTTAAGCTGCATCTACTGACAATAATCTGCAAGTCTAAATCAGTAATCACTAATATTGGTTGTATCAGAAATATGCTTTGCCTCCCTGTCATCAATTATTACTCATAACAATACAAAACATGGGCCAGGCCAATTGTGGTTGAACCAATGAGAGCTGACTCAAGTATGTTAACATTTTGGATTTCTATTAAGCAGCAAATAGCAAAGGCTTGACAAATATTATGATACTCATTCACCCCCACACATTACAATGCAGAATCTAATTGCATAGTTTGTAGAATTTAGAGGGTTGCCTGATTAAAACAGTTGATTTTAAATATTATTACAATAACAGGACTGACATTTCTGTTACTTCTAAAAGATATCTTGTCATAGAAATCAACTAAAAAGTACAAAAGTACCAAAAGAAGTTGGGAGTTGTTGAACAACTTAAAGCAGGATCAAAAACAAAAATCGGTACTGTAATAAACGCTTTGATACTTTAGTAGGCAGAAAAATTAGGTTATAGTAAACTTTGTAGAAATAATTGACAAAGGAAATCCGATACCAATACATTGAGATATAAATGATGCTAATTTTCAGGATCATATTTGTATATGTTTCTCTTTATTTTTCTCACACTGCGTCTGCTGCAGCACCTCTTTTCACCCTCTGTCTGAAACCAGAACCCAGACTGCTCTGATTGGTTAGCTGCCCGAGTGTTACATTGTGATGTCACTATGTTACGGAAGTAAACAAAGGGGGCGTTTCAGGCAGGGGGGAAGTGTGTGGGAGAGAAACTCTCTCTGGAGGGAACACAGGCATTTTAGACTTTGCAGACCATTTACATGCACTAAAACCTGTAGAACACTACAGGCCATAATATAGCCTCTTTAACCCTTAGATGCATAAAGTAAGTGGGTCTTCTTTGACCCACTTATGGAAGAGTGTAGGGTCCAGTCACTCGTGCGTCTAAGGGTTAATATTGCGCCTTTCACACCAGCGCTTTTCCCGCTCTAGCTCCGTGCTAGAGCTTTTCTGGTTCAGCTCCGGTTTCCCTTTTCTGCTCCCGCTCTGTTCACACCGCCCAGAGCCCGACTGGTGCAGCCGCTGCTGCGTCATGACGTCACCGTTTACATCGCTGATTTGCTCCCCAACGGCGCTCACAACAACAACAACAACAACACAACAACGGGGGACTGCGTCGGGTCGATGATCGTGTTGCTTTTAATCATACAAAGTCAGATTAAATAAAATAACGACTTCTCCAAGCTTATACTTTTTTCCAGAGTGCCGTGGTTCATTGTTTATTGATGTGTTTCAGCGGCATTTACCGACCGCTGCAGTGCTGTTCGTCCACTGGAGTTTATTCTCCCGTTAGCTCCCGGTTAGCTCACACTGCAGCGGCCGCTCTAAAGTATTGACTGTCTGACTGTCACACAAGCAGCTGATACATATCCCCAGTTCCCCTTAAGTGAATGTGTGTCATTCTGAATTGATGCTGTTTGGCATCACAACGCTGTTATGAAAGTTTCTCTGGTATAAAATGGGTGATGTTAGCATAGCAACCGAAGCTAAACTGACTACTTGCTATTGCTATCCTATTGTGGCATAAGCCGTTTTCTACAGGCACATTTTACCGGCGTATTTTTCATTATGATTCTACTTGTGATAGTCGGACATGACAACCTGTGCAGCCCATGTATGGATTCCATCCGATAGCTGCTATAATAAAAAACAAAACGTCTGCCTGCTCTCCACAATAATCAATAGCAGCAAACGGATGGTCAAAGTAAGGCACAAATAAACAGAATCACACGAAGCCTGGTTAGTGTTGCCTGACTTTATAAAGTGTGTTTTTTTTTATAAGTGTGTGGTTGCCTTCTAGTCACTTTGCTCAGCGCGACTGCTTGTAGGCAGGCATGAGGAGATTCTTCAGTCGACCCATGTTCAGGGGAGGTGAGTTTAGTTTCCTGCATGCCTCGACGTAAGAGAGACGTAAGCGACGCCGCCTCTTAGCTCCGAAGCTCTTGCTTCTAGACCGACACTTTTTTGGAACTGGAGGTGAACCGGATTCCGGAGCTAAGAGGCGGCGCCGCTACGGTGTGAACAGGAAAAACCGGTACTTTTCAGGCTCTAGCTCCGAGCCGGCGCTGAAAACGCGTTGGTGTGAAAGGGGCATATGTGACGGGTTGGGAGTGAGAACGTGTTGGACATCACTATATCACAATCGTGCTTCTTAGCGCTCCAACAAATTGTACGTGAAAGGCTAAGGGGTGGGACATTTCTAACACATCTAAGTTGTTGACCAATCACAACAGAGCATATAGTTAACCAATCAGAGCAGACTGGGCATTGGTTTCAGACAGAGGGTTACATTAAAGCATGGAAACACGTCACAGTAGGCACACAATTAAAATAGAAATCTGAACATTATCATAATAAGTCCTCTTTAGGGGACGCTTCAAACGACATCAGAAAGCAAAAATAAATAGCATAGAGAAGAAGTTATGTTTAAATGTATAATTTTCTAAGCTACTTTTCATTATCTTACCCCTCCACTGACAGGACCGTAGCTGTGGCCAGATTTGTCAGGCTCCTCCAGATACAGCGTGTAGAAATCTGGCCTGAAGGAAAATGTCATTTTTAAATAAAAGTATATTTTCAACACCAGAAACACATGTTTGGTATTTTCTGAATGAAAGTGTCCTGATTCCTAAATGGTGAGCGACTAGTTAGGACAATAACAAACCTGTCAGCGTCTGGCAGCTGGAGCCACTTCAGCACAGTGAATACTCTTTCTTCAAACGGCACTTTACTAAAAAATAACAAAAGAGAGAGAAATGGCAGTGGTGAACCTAAAGTCTTTAAAAGGCATTGAAGGAGAAACAGTGACATCAGAACATTTTTATGAATTGTATCAACCCCAGTTAAAGGTGGCTTTGTTGCACTTATTGGATTGAGTTTGTTTACACGCAGGCTCACTGAAGGAGAGCAGTGGTGACTGGGTTTGCCTGGATACCATTTAAACATTTATTTTTGGTTAAATTACATTATTTCATCCCTACAGAACAGTACATACATTAAGAAATGCTCTGTCAGAATATAAGTCCATTGTGTTGTTACCCAATGGCCAGTAGGCTACCAGCTTTATAAAACACTACACTACTGATTTAAAAATGATCGTTTTACTTCCGCGTCCACAAAAAGTGTCGGTTCCACTGCATACCGACGGCTGGAACTGCGGCAACAGCAAAGTTAAACTGACCGCAGCACTGATCAGGCTTTTCAGCAATTGTCCAAGTCTGTTAAAAAATGTTCTCCATTAACCAGTCTTTAAACACTGTCAGAAGCCATACTGTCTTCCTGTCTGGCTTCTTTTACTCTTCCCTTTAGTTTTTACTTCCTGTCTGCCTTCTTCTACTATACTCTTTGGTGTTTACTTCCTGTCTGCCTTCTTCTACTGTACTCTTTGGTGTTTACTTCCTGTCTGCCTGCTTTATTGTACTCTTTGGTGTTTACTTCCTGTCTGCCTTCTTCTATTGTTCCCTTTAGTGTTTACTTCCGGTCTGTCTTCTTTTAATGATTTCCGTCTCTTTCGCTATTTTTCATTTCTTCATTGGGGACAGTTAAGCCATCTTAAATCAATAAATTTTGGGTTCTCCTCAAATATAAAAATAAATATTCCAAAACTAATCCTCAGTTTTTTCTAAACGAGAAAACTTATGTTTGTTGTCCATAACTGCCGTTAAATTTACCGGACTACTTTCTGTGGATTGATACGACGGCACAAAGTCCTCCTTAGCAACAGTTGTCTATTCTTTGCAGTATGTTGGCTAGTATTAATAACCTCTGAAATTTCCAAATTGACCAATCAGAATCGAGTATTGAACTCTGTACTCTGTACCAACTCTTTATATATCCATGTCTTATACACACTGCCGGGACCCATATTCCTCTGCTGTATCTTGAGACATACAGTAAGAGCCATGATTTGACAGATATTTGAAAGAATTCAATGTTTCTTTGACTCTATTTAGGTAACTCTTGTTCGGTTGGTTTGATTTTCCAGGAAGGAGACCAGCTCCATCTGTGGTGTCATTAAGTGAAATACATTGCTTTCGTGAGGATAAATGAACTAAAGTCAAACAGTAAATACAGCACTGAGAACATCCAGGATGTAAATGCAATGAAGGTGTTTGTTTACCATCGAAGGATAAACAGGCCTTAATCGAGCAATAATGGGGAGGGAAGAGTGTCCGCAGTTAAGGCATTAAAGGTTAAGAGCAATAAAGCAATTCAATATATGTGTACCATCCCACCAGGGGCGGATCTAGAAAAATATTCATGGGGTGGCAAGAGGGTGGCAGGAGAATTTGAGGGGTGGCATCCCCTGGCAGAAGTATATGCTGATTTAATCGCAGTCATATCAATCAATGTTAACTTGGAAAGCCACAATATTGATATTTTAACTAAATAACATTTGGTGACATTATTGTGGCACATCAGTAAAGCCTCTCATATAAATATATAAGGTGGCAAGACATAATTTAATTAATTTTAACTGAATGAGTTGGTTTCACTCTTAGACCAGCAGGGGTACCAAATGTATGCAGACTGCTGCAATAAGTACATTAATTAACTGTCTCATCGATGTGTGTCTGTATGAATATGATAATATTAACAATCATATTATTCCTTTAATCTTGCTGGGAGACTTCAACGCACATGTGGGCAATGTTAGAGACACTTGGAGGGGAGTGATTGGGAGGAACGGCCCCCCTGATCTGAACCGGAGTGGTGGTTTGTTACTGGACTTCTGTGCTAGTCATGGATTGGCCATAACAAACACCATGTTCGAACATAAGGATGCTCATAAGTGTACGTGGTACCAGAGCACCCTAGGCAGAAGGTCCATGATCGATTTCGTTATCGTATCGTCGGACCTGAGGCCGTATGTTTTGGACACTCGGGTAAAGAGAGGGGCGGAGTTGTCAACTGATCACCATCTGGTGGTGAGTTGGGTCGAGTGGCGGGGGAAGCCTCTGGATAGACCTGGTAAGCCCAAACGTGTAGTTCGGGTGAACTGGGAACGTCTGGAGGAGGCCCAAGTTCAGGAGGCCTTCAACTCACACCTCCGGCGGAGCTTTTCGGGCATTCCTGTGGAGGTTGGGGACATTGAACCAGAGTGGTCGGTGTTCAAAGCCTCTATTGCCGAAGCCGCGGCGGGGAGCTGTGGTCTCAAGGTCCTAGGTGCCTCAAGGGGCGGTAACCCTCGAACCTCCTGGTGGACACCGGTGGTCAGGGAAGCCGTCCGACTGAAGAAGGAGGCCTTCAGGGATTTGTTATCCCGGGGGACTCCCGAGGCAGTTGCAAGGAACCAACAGGCCCGAAGGGCAGCAGCCTCAGCCGTGGCCGAGGCAAAGCAGCGGGTGCGGGAGAAGTTCGGAAAAGCTCTCACACTCGGAGACTTAACCGTGTGGTGGGAGACTTAGGGGGAAATTTTTCCCCTTGGTGGTGGGCCAGACGGTGGGAAGCATGACAAAGGCTGAGGTGCGTGAATCTCTGCAGTTGGTACTGTCCAGGGGTGTGGTCTCGGAAGTCGTAAAGCCCCGCCTAGAAAGTAGGGGGGCCGAACGGCCTTCAAACTGCTGTAGTCACTGGGAGGGGGCCTCTACCACAGCTAGGGGGCAGGTAGAGGTCGGTCGACGGAGGTATGGAGGTCGAGGCGGAGATGGTATCTCCCGCTACAGCCCAAGTCCTCAAGGAGGAGTTTCACGAGGAAGTTGCGGGTTGGAGGTAGTCAAGTCCAGTTGTTTCAGGGTAGGAATGACATGTGTCGAACCTACCAAGGGAACGAGGGGGAGGACTCCACAGCCTGTCAAAAGGTCTTGTTAAACCCCGCGGGCTTCNAGATCTTATTTCAGGCGTCTCACCTTAAAGTCCTTATCTTGCGTAATTTACCCAACAAGTTAATGCATTTTGAAACAGTTCTATGATCTTTCAGCTACAGTAAATTACGCAAGATAAGGACTTTAAGGTGAGACGCCTGAAATAAGATCTGTGGTTAGCACACATTCAAGACATTATCGCTCTTTCTCTATGACATCAATAGGTCAGTGAATACCCCTTCCTAAGCTTCTATCTGTCATACAAAAAGGGAGCCCTTGCGATGCTAACCTCAGGGCTTGTTTAAATAAATATGTTGTCAATGCACCGCTCTATGAGGGAATATAATACATATTGAGCAGTCTGTGTTTATTTTAATCAAATAACTCAACTTCGGAAATATCCCTATATGATTCATTCAGACCCTATTTCTTTAAAACGGGAATTTTAAGTTGTTGTTGTTTTTTTGACGCAAAGGATTCCTGATTTTCTTTTTAATAAACGTTTACCTCAAGAAAAAATAAAGACCGAAAAGCAAAACGCAATGGCTCCTCTTGTTCCTCTCTACATGTCTGCAGCAGGTGCAGGGTCTGGAAACCATCTGAGCATTCCTCCCTCAGAGGAGGGTCCTGGATGTGTTCACAGCTCTGTTATTTCAAAACACTGATGTGTAACTGTTGACAAACCAAAGTCCATCTGTCTCGCAGTGTAAATTCTCCATCTGCTCTCTTTATGATTTGCTTTTTTGGCAATTTAGATGTTTCTTTTTGATATGTTGTTCCCTTTGAAGTGTTCTGTCGTTAGCATTTTGGTGCAATTCAAGATCAAATATAATAAATGATCACTCCTTTATCTCTCTCTCAGTGCCTGACCCGCCTACAGACCTCCGGGCCGTGAACGTCACAGACACCAAGGCCTTGTTGCTGTGGCGACCAGCATTGGCTGCTGTGGATAAATACGCCATTGTTTACGGCTCTGGGACAGGTGAGCGGTGTCCTCAGAAGAACCTCAACTTCATGTTTCTGGGCTCAATCAAACATTCATTAAGTAAAAAATCATTATAATAATACACTTTATTTGTATAGCACCTTTCATTCACAAAGCAGCCCAAAGTGCTTTACAGGAAACATAACAACAATATTAAAATAATATTAAAATGAATACAGAACAAGATAAACAGTGATAATATGTTAAAATGCAACAATTTAAAAAACAAAATGTAAAATAAAAGCAAAACAGAAACAAAATGCAGTCAAACATGGACAATGGTACTAGTGACCCAAATTAAAAGCCATATTAAAAAGATTAAACATTTCAAGGGAGTTTGCTGTTGTAAGATCCACGGGGAGGCTGCTCCATCGTTTAGGGCCGTACAAACAGAACACAGCCTCCCCAGATCTCTTGTGTGATACCCTTGGCATTTCTAAAAGCAGGACACTGGAGGATCTAAGGGTTCTTGTTGGATACTAAAAAACATAAAAAGAAAGGCAGTCGCTGAGGTAAGAAGGTGCTAGGTGAGGTAAAGCTGTGTAGGTTAATAAAAGGACTTTCAAATTGATTCAGGTAACCAGTGGAGTGATGCCAGCACAGAGGAAATGTGTTCTCTCAGCGTTTTGGACTAGTTGGAGTTTCCGTAAGGGTTTTTTAGGCAGGCCAGTAAAAAGAGAATTACAGTAATCCAAGCGACTTAATTTAAAGCATTAATTATAATCAGAATCAGAATACCTTTATTAGTCCCACAGAGGGGAAATGTACAGCGTTACAGCAGGAAAGAGCCACAGACAGCTTAGTGTTGCATATCTTACATGCATTAAAAAAGTACTAAGTTATAATATAAAAAACAAACAACACAACAATAAGCTAAAAAAGTACTAAGTTATAATATAATAAACAATATGCAANAAAAGAGACTTTACACCGTCACGGTTCTCTCTGACCGTTGATGGTGGTGTATAGGGTCGATAACAAACACTTGCTGCGGACAGGCGAAACGCTGTTTGGAGGCAGTCACTATTCAGTTGTCGAAGACACTAACCTACTTTGTATGTAAACAGGGTTTTTTTAGGTTGAGACAAGAGGATTGTTTAATGGCAAGGGTGTCTTGATATTGACGTAAGAGGTAAATGCAAATCGATCTTTTGCATAAAAAGGTTCGAGGGTTCGCAATGCAAACAATACCTTGCATAGAGGTAATGCAAATAAAAGATGTATAGAACGGTAAATAACAAGAACGAAATATTATTTACTATTATCAGTAAATATTTATGATAGTAAAATCTCGATCGTGTATAACTTTAACTCTTAGCCCGAGCTATATACGCAAATTTAATATTTTACGTCATCCGCTCCGAACATTAAAGCGCGTCGACAATCGACGGAGGTGTACTCGGTCCGTCTTTTATTATACAAAATTGTACCGTTTTTCCGACGACACAGCAATAACGTGCGAGTTTGTATTTTGTTTAGGTCTCAATGCAAAAGACATGAAGGAGATTTCTTCTTTCCCTGTCATTTTCTTCGCGAGACACTCGAAGTCCGGGAACTAGCCGTGCAAGTTTACTGTCGCAAACCAATGGAAGTTTTCCACCCGCCCGACATTTCACTGCATCGCTAGATAGATACCGTTTTTGGCAGGATAAATAGAGATGCATTTAATGTACGGTCACAAAATAGAAAAGTAAATCGTAAACAAAAACGTACAAAATTGACCCTTCGAGAAGCCGACTAACCTAAAAATCCGGCGTTACGTCGCAACCCTATACCACAATTACGCTATACTTTAAGTCTCCAATTAGCGCAACCTCATCAGCCTATTAGGTTTTTAGTCGTACGGATTTGCAATTAGATTGTCCCCAGCCGTTGGAGCAGGGGGAAAAACTAATACTTCACGGTAAGTTTGTTTATATAAAATAGTCGCACGGCTGCTAGCGCTTAAATAGTTGCACACCCCCGCCTTGCCCCACTAAGCCCTAGCCGTCTCACCCGCCTCTTTTTGATACCCTCAGATAGTGTAAATTTTAATACAATGTTTGAGTTTAATTACCCCGAGTTAAGTGACCCGCGAAGTGTTTGTTGTTGGTTGTATTAATTATATTTAAATTTTACTTCTTTTGTAATAAGTTCAAAATGTATTATTGAAACTCTATTTATTGTGCCCGTCTTGTACTCGCTTCGGTCGAGAGATAAAGGATTGAGAGGGGGAGAGAGAGATGGACCTGTTCTGGTCACAGTGGTCTACGGATAGATTACGTCGAGTGATCTAGGTCATTACTTCACCTGTTGGCTGTGCTACTTCTTTGATTTATAATATATATTGACTCAAATCGAGACATAGGTCTGCCATTCGTATGTTATCGACACCAATCACACAATCCAGATTCGAGAACACACAACGAACGAAGGCGAGTGTGCAGACTAGGTCGTCCCACCTCGACGTCTAAAAGACGTTAAGGTGGTTGTGCAACGTATGGGTGAATATAAATAACAGTAAAAGCCTGTGAAACTTTAATGAATGGTCACTGGCCACTTCGGTTAAAACCTCTCTGAACCAAAACGGCACTGTGTCTCTTTCTATCATGTACATAAAATCAGTAACGCTAGCCGATAGAGCGTCTAGTCCGTAGAAATCTCTCGTGCTGCTAAGTCCGTCTCCACTCATAGCTCAGCTGTAACTACTGGCTTAAATTGTTTGTGTAAATTTTTTATAACCAAATTTGTTCGTATTTATTATTCCGTGCTAGCAGGCAAGTCACAAAGAGTCTTGTGTGGTACGGTCATGGCGGTGACACTATCCTGTACAATATAAGTTTACTCTCTAACTCGTTCTAGCGGTGACCGATTTAAATGATGTTTCCTGTGTCGGTGCGTTTTTTGACGCCGTAAACATGTCGTTATGAATACCCATGACCGTTAACACCTTCCGTGAAAGTGAAGACACACACTTTGCTAGTCGTGACGGGTGCCTCCTTTCGCTCTTCTTTCAACGGATTCCTCAATTTTCTCTCTGTCCCGACGCAACCAATGGAAGACGTCCATTGCCTCTCTCTGGGCGAGATCTCGCCGCCAAAGCAAGTCCTATGGCTTTTTATGTTTTAAATAATTATAAATATTGTTTACGGTTTGTGGTATAAGGTGAATAAGCGTTCACACGGGTGACCAATGCCACGTGCGCACGGTGGTCACGGTCTCTCAACTGCTGGGGACCAGTTTCTCAGAATTGAAGGGGAAAAACACAAAAAGCATTGCACACAATTTAAACCTATCAATGTTGTTTAATTAATAAAGATAATATGGTGTTTTTGAGTTGATGAGTAGTGGAGATATCAATGTCAAATCAACCGACAGTAAGGAGAATACTTACTTCCGGGTGTACAATTCTCCGTTATCCAATGGGAATGGACGCTCACATTGCCTTTAACAGCCGCCGACATAAACGGATGCGGTGCTTCCTTGAGCGTCAAATACCGCCACCGATGGGAATACATTGTAATCAGTCGAAAGCTCTTTGCGTCCGTTTATGAATCTGAAGGAGCCTCGGCGCGTCCCAACTGCACGCCACAGGACCCTGACCAAGCGTCGCTCCTGGACGTTTAGGGAGTGAGAGTGTGTTGGTTTACACTATTCACCCACCAATGTGGCGTATATCCATAAAGTCTGTCTATTCAAATTTCCCCGGTGGCACCGGTGTCCTACCTGTGAGAACCTATTCTTGTTCTGCCTGTGCTATGCCCCTTTCCCACCAAAGCAGTTCCAGGGCCAGTTTGGAGCTAGTGCCGATTAAGCACCAGTTCTTCTTGTTTCCACGGCAGCGGGGCCGGCCCTTGGCCACGAACCGGTTCTTATCGGGCCCTACTCGAAAGCAAGAACCAAATGGGTCACGCTTACATCAGAGGCGGGGGCAGGGGCGCTGAGCAAAGTGACTAGTAGACAACCACACACTTGTAAAAAACACACTTACTGTATATAAAGTCAGGCAACACTAACAATGCATAGTGTCATGCCGTTTGTTTTTACCTTACTTTTATACACCATCCATTCACTGTTTCCCGTTTTTAAGACCAGCACACTACCACATATTTTTTCCTGTAATTTTTTTATCATATCAGCTATAGGGTGGAATCAGTTCATGGGCTACTACACAAGTACAATCATAAAGAAAAATAGGCCGGGTAAATGTGCCCGTAGGAAACGGCTTATGCCACAATATGATAACAACAAACAGTCGAGACAGTCAGATGAGCTTCAGTTGCTATGCTAACATCATCTCTCTAATACCAGAGAAACTTTAATGACGGCGTTGTGATGTCAAGAAGCGTCAATTCAGACAGACACACATTCACGTATGGGGTTAAGGGATTATGTATTTGTTGCAATTGTTGCTAAAAAGAAGAAACGGTTTGGAACCAGAAGAGCACAAGCACGGAACTATAACTGGAACTGGTTTGGTGGGAAAGGAGTATTAGAGAGTGCCATAACCAAGCTCCACTTCTATCTCAGCACCACCTTGCACTCCTGGCCCGATTAGAAACCCAAGGGCATGGCTAACACAGCACAGAAACTTGGGCAGTGACAAATTCCCAACAAAGCTTTTCTCTGAGGAATGAAACTACCATGGAGGTTAAAGGAATGAGAGGCAAGTGGGAGACCGAGGGAGGTGGGGGAGCGAGAGACCTGGCATGATGAAAGGACATGTGGCCTACTGTGACAAATGTTTTCCCGACTCGTGATTTATCATGGTGAGAGAGCAACACCCACAGCAGCCCCAGCCAAACCACTGCAGTTGTATATTGATAAAGACTTCTCTTGGAAAAAAAAGGATTGCTTTTTTACATTGTTTATTCCTCCATTTATTTGCGCCACAACTTCATACACTGTATTTTAAGACCATGAGGGTCTGTTTGCAGTTTATTGTTGGTCACTTTTAGCCTATGAGTCATTTGGGAGAAACTGTTTATTATCTTAACGCCCCTGTGGAATAAATGCTTACAACATTTGGAGCCACTGTTCTATTTCTCGTTTAGACGGAGAAAAAACTGCTGATCCTTACAGTTTTGTGGCTTACTTTTTATTGAATGAGTTTTAAAGGAGAACACTGATATAACACCAGACCAGTTGCATATAATTAGGAGGCAGGTTGTGTTATTTTCTCTGTACTCTAAATCCTATTAAATTACTTGGAAAATGTGGGGTTTTTTCTACATGGTTAATGAACAGACAGTCAGTCACATACATTCTGATGTGACCAAAATGTGTTGTTCAGTCCTGTGATCCCTAATTTGTGTTTTGACCCCTTAAATAAAACAGTGTTCACTTGCTTCCCCTAGTCGCTGGTTGTGTTTTCTTTTTTGGTTTGAATTACTGTTAGAGGTGCACATTTTCAAAGAGGGTAAAAGATTAGAGAAACGTGTAAACAAATCAACATGATCTGGTGATATTTTTCTGCTCCCCAGCTTGTAAACATCTGAATGCCAGACCCTTTGCAAGCAGTTGTTAGTTTTGGTCTGGTTAACACAAAATTGTAAATTTGTACTTAGAATAATTCGTGCAGTTTGTATTCTCTTTTACTGCCTTTTGCCGTGTCCATGTACATTTCTGTCTATGGACACATTTTGTTACTGCAATATTGTCGCAACTGTGTAGATGGAGAAAAAAATGTTACAGGTGTGTGTCAGATTTGAAGAGGGTTGTGGTCAGAGAAAGGAGAAGGGACTATTGGTATTTTTCTCTCCGTGTCACCTCTAGTCGATGAGGTTGACTGTTTACCTCGTAATGAAGTTTGTTATAGTATGCTGGCTTTCTAGCAGGGCTTTCAATGTGTAAGCAGGCAATGTCTGGAGGCTTGCTTTACAGTAAATGTAGCAGGAAGTGTTATTCCTTCAAGAGTTGACGTATCAGCCATCTTTTTACCAGCATGTTAAATAGTATTATTTGTAATGGAAACTGCATAACTATATTATCTTTTCCATCAATTTCATTTTAAGATTTAGTTTTCTTAAAAGGTTTTAATTTAAAAAGTAATTTGCAGTGAGCTGAGATTTTGAAGTGTATTTTGTAGTGAATGATATTAAGCATTGACTTAGAGCCATCCTGAAAAACCCCATTAAATATATCAACCAATCGCTGTTCTCATTCGTAACACTCCGTTCGATGTCTCACTATGGGATGTGCCTCATCGCGGAGCAAACAGAAGCATCAATCTCATTACGCCAATCCTGATTGGCTGGTGATCTTGACGTCAGCGTCAGGGAATCCACCCGTAGTAGGTAGCTTTGCGCTACCGCGATGCCGGTCCATTCGAAACACCTCTTGTTCTGCGCGCAGGGCACACTCCTGCTCTATATGGTAGCCGGGCCGTGGTCAGCACAGTTCTATCAGACTGGGAACCAAGCTATCAAGCTGCTGATCGGGGTCGTTAGGCGGCTCTTGCCGGCGTACTTCCGTATA